GAAAGTTGCAACTGTGTTATTTAATGAGCTAACATGAACTAAGACTTGTATTTTTTAAACAAAGATTAATAACTTCTGCAGCAAATGTAGCTATTGCTCATTGTGAATGTTAATGCATTAACTAAGGTTAACTAATGAGGTCTTATTGTAAAGTGATACCTATTGGTCTTTATAGTTCTTTTGCACTTTAATCTGTGTAAAACTTAACTTTATAAATTTTTCTGTATTGCTTTATTGCATTTAAATGTTCAGTTATTTTTGTTATAAGAAAAAAGTTATTAAACCTGTTATACTGTATTATGACAGCACTTTTTTAAAACTAAATTTCAATATCGTCATAATACCGCATACCGTGATAAAAGCATTAGCAATTAATCGCAACATGAAAATTTGATACCGGCATATCCCTAAAGCCAACATTTCACAATTAAGACTTTTTTTCCCCTCGCAATTTAGACTTCAAAGTAAAATAATAATAATAATAATAATTCCAAATTGAGATATAAACTCAGAATTGCAAGAAAAACAGTCTGAATTGAGAGAAGTCGCAACTCTTTTTTTTTTAATTCGGTGGCAAAAACAAACTTCAAGTTATTATAAACAATAACACAATTGCGAGTCAACATCAGCAATTCTGACTTTTTCCCCTCACAATTCTGTTAATATCTCGCAACTCTGAAAATAGCAAGAAAAAAGTCTGATATTTGAGATAACTCAATTTTTGAGATAAAAAGTCGCAATTAACTGATTTTTTTATTTCGTGGTATAAACGAGCTTAGATATCTTACACTGATCTAATGCAGACATCATTAAACACCAAAATTCTGGTAACACTTCATTATAGGAACCAGTTCTCACTCTTAACTAGTTGCTCATTAGCATGCATATTACTAACATATTGGCTGTTTATTAGTACATAAAGCATTTATTCTACACCCCTAATCCTACCCAATAACCACATCACTATTAACAGAGCTGGGTAGTAACGGATTACATGTAATGTGGATTACGTAATCAGATTCCAAAAATGAAGTACTTGTAATTAGATTAAATTATTTTAAAATACTCAACACTACAGTTACTTTATGGATTACATATTCACATAATAGCAATAAATTCATAATTTATCAATTCTCCCTAATTCATCTTTTAAATGTTCCTTTCTAAAATATCCTACCGCTTATATATATATATATATATATATATATACTCAGAAAGTCTTCAGTTTTGTGACAAAAATCATTTCAACATCGCATTAACTACCGATGAACATTAATATTTATCACTCGGTAGGTTATTTAACCATCTATTTCTATGTCTTTCGAAGGCTTTTGTCTTTCAAACACATTAAAATGCACAAATTCACAAACTTTTGTGTCATCTGATCCGCTTTCACCGAATATATTTATTGTAAAGTAAGTATTTTAATAATAAAGCATCACATTTGCATGTTCGCGGTTCTCTGATGTTGGTTAATGGTCACATGACATGCAGGTAAACATAAAATATTGATTTTTTTAGTACGTTTTATTTTTATTGATCTTAAAATTAATTTGGCATTTTTTCGTTAAACTCACTCACAAACCTTAATTTGGGAAACCTTGACTTAATGTAATGTTTAATGCACCGTATGTTGTTAATTTCAACAAATGTAATATATTTTCTTACTTTGTATTTTTATATCAATATGGTACAAGATTATCTTATTTAAATCAATGTGATCAGCAGTGTTGGGGTAACGCATTACAAGTAACGCGAGTTACGTAATCAGATTACTTTTTCAAGTAACTAGTAAAGTAACGCATTACTTTTTAATTTACAAGAGAATATCGGAGTTACTTTTTCAAACAAGTAACGCAAGTTACTTTTTTTTCCAATTTATTGATTTGACAGCTCTGGTGTCGCCATGGTGACAGAAATCAGAAGATGTTACTGTAGCTCTAAAATAAATATGAACATGCATTAATTCATCTCACTCACAAAAAAACAACACCGATTCAGTATTCCTCAAAATGAATAAAAATAATGCAACTCAGAATATGACGCAAACCTGCAATAATTAAATGTTAAACAACACAAATATGCTTTATGTATTTAATCCCATTCTATTAACCAAAGTCTTTACTTCTGACCTTCGATGACCCAGTTCAACCGCACTAATAAGCACAAATTACTCTAGACGAACATTTGTGTGTCTTTTTTTTATTGCTGAAGTGTGTTGAAATGTCTTCTTCTGCGTTCTACTGTACGGACGTAAATTTACTTTCCCTTCAGCCTGAGGCTTATTCATTTCACTTTTGGTGTGAAAAGGCTTTTATATTTGCCAAAAATATTACTTTTTTATTTTAAAAACAAACAAACAAGCCCTGTCCAGATTTAAAACGTACCGCGAAAGTAACGTAACGCATTACTTCCCATAAAAAGTAACTAACATAATTAGTTACTTTTTTTATGGAGTACCGCAATATTGTAATGCATTACTTTTAAAAGTAACTTTCCCCAACACTGGTGATAAACGAGGTAGGTCAAAAGTAATCCGATTACATTACCTGAACCGTGTAATGTAACTGATCGCGTTACTAACTACATTTTTTGTCACGTGATTTGGAATCAGTAACTGACTACAATTTGATTATTAATAAGCAGCACACTAGGACATTATTGAGGGAAAAGATGTAGTTAATAATCTTTTAACAGAATCGCTCCCCAAACTAAATTATTTGAAGCGACTAAAGCATCAAATTAATTCATTAAAACAGTTTAAAGCGCAATTCAGTCACGAATCTCCCGACAGTCCGTTCAGTGTTATTACTGCGGACATACAGCTCATCACAGGGTAAAAACACGCAGTTTTATCACCGATGTCGCGTTTAAACGCAATGTTTTGATTCCGAGCATCGACTCTTTTGACAGAAACGATCACAATGCCGTTTAAAGCCGTTCTCATCGCCCGTGTGAACCAATACAGCACCGATGATGTTTAACGTCCTCATCTGAACATCGACTAACCAGAAAAGTGAGGTATTTGAGCGAGATAGAGGAGATGTTTGAAGATTCCCCTCCGGGACGAAAACACTCACCATTGTAGCAGAAGAGCTGCGGGTCCAAAAGAGACTGAGCGACTGCGCATGCGGCTTACCAGCGCCGACACTGACGCATTATGGGATACCGGAGGACCAACTCCACCGCACAGCCAGAAACATCACAACCCTCTTGTAGTTAGTAATTATAATAATAATAATTACTATATATTGTGTTATATTATTTATTACTTCCATAAACTTTACATAAATAATAAACGAATAAATGTATTTATTATTATTTAAACTAAGATTATTTTTTATAAAATAATTATATAATAGTATTATGTGTCAAATAAATCATTTATAATTAATCTAATTATAATTAATAACAAAAATAATTGTAGGCTTGTTTTCTCTCATGCCTCAGTAAAAGCATGATTACAAATAATAATAATAAATAATAATAATTTAATTAATTGTATGCATATATAATTATATAATGGTGTTAAACTTATATATTGTAATATTTATAT